AAATTCTCTCTGTAATTCGAAGTGTGGAAAGTGAATATGGTCCTCCCTCTATAATTCGAAATAAGACGGTACACTCCCTCTACAATTCGAAGTCAACTGTTTATGTACCTATGTGTCTGAAAGAGCTGATAGGATTGTCAAAATGTAAACATGTAATTAATAATTTTAAAATTAAATATAAATAATTAATACTTCATAATAACTTAGTGTAATTTTAATCTCCGGGAAGAAATGACTGATATTTTTGGTTCCTTTTGACTTAAATCCGTCCATTTGCCTCTCCACATTCGAACCTCTCTAATTCGAAATTTCCCCACATAAATCTCTTTAATTCGAACTCTCTTTATTTCGAAACCTCGCTAATTCGAAGAAAAAGCCGATTCCCTTCAATTTCGAATTATCGAGAGTCCACTGTATCCTGCGTGTTAAGGAAGAACGCCGTATGAACATTCTAGAGTTGCCAAATTTTCTCCGCTAAAATTTTCATTTTTGGGGGAGGATTATTATTATTTTATTTTGGAATTTTCAGATAATTTAGATCTGATTGCGGATAAAATTCTTTGAAACATTGGAGGGAAAATATCCACTGAAAATTTTGATTTTATTCAAGAAAATTTGCCAACGTCTGAAGGCTCATACGGCGTCCTTCCTTAGCTCAGCAGGGCCGGATTAAGGGGGTGGCCATACGGGCCGCGGCCCATGGCGGCAAATCTAGAGGGCGGAAAATTTTGCAATTTTTTTAAATATAGGTATAAACAAATATCGGATTTGGAAAAAGAAAATTACAAACGAGAAAAGGCGACAAAATTTCTCTTTTTCTGAGAGTGTAGTTATTTTTAATTTTGTCGTCTTTCAGTGATACAAGAGACAGCACCTTTAATTAGTTGAGTTAAGAGAGAAACTAAACACGAAATTTGGCCTGGAACAGAGAGCAATGATGACGAGGACTTGAGATGAAAAGGAGAATCCATCGGCGCGGCAATCGGCATGTAACACATATTAGCGCTTACAAGACTGCACGAATACTTCTTGCATTGCATCAAACACAGTGCGGTCATTGCGGTCAGCGTGAAACGGATAGCGCCTACAAGAATGCATGAATACTTCACGCATTGCGCCAAACACAGTGCGGTCAGCGAGAAACGCATGTCGCCTACAAGACAGCGTGAATACTTCACGCATTGCGCGAAACACGGCGCGGCGGCGGAAGTTAAAATCATTAAACCAAATTTTGTGTTTGTTCTTTCATAATTTTTTCGTTCATTTCTTATGAATGGAAGGCCTTGTCCACACAGAGATATGTTTACAAAACTTAACTTTTGCTAGTAGTGTTGACAGGGCTTTCCCAAACAAAGTGTTCAACACGAGTAAACGCGTCTTATGCACCCCTCCCCCGCTGGCACGTTCACTTGATGGTCTTTTTTGATATTTCAATACGAATGAGAAGGGGGCGGCAAAATACAGGCGGCCCATGGGCGGCACGTAGGTAAATCCGGCTCTGTAGCTCAGCAGTAATTCCTATCGATAGGCGCGAAAATCACGAAAATCTGCCCTAACAGCACACAGTGAATCGAGTCAGTCGGAGAGGTCGGACATGAAATGTTTAATTTAAACTGCAAAGTTGGGCGTTTATTTCGTCACATTTTACATTTTAAGGGGTGCTTCCAGAGGAAAATTTCACTAGTAAACCAATGGAACCACTTTTAGAACCCCAAAGTTTTGTATAAACGAAGTTATAAGCTTTTAAAGTTTCCAAACTTTGTCCGACACCTCACCTGTTGACTCGATCCACTGTGCGGCACTGGAGATGGAGAAAGAATTGTGGCCAAAGATGAAATTTTACATTGTTGAAATTAAGGAATTCACAACTTTAAAACGATACATTTTTTAATTTCACGACGGCGGATCAAGGGATTTGAATAGGTTCTCGCTGGGCGTCCAATGACCGGCCTCGAAACCAAGGAGACCAGTTTCCGTGGACAGGAGCGATGCACGGCCATTGTACTCGCACCCACACGAATGCAACTGTGATATTTCCGTCCGAACAAAAAAGGACAATGGGTCCTCAGCATTTGCATGTCAGGGTTAGCCAGAATTGTATCGCGTATTATAACCTCGGCGGCGATGCCAAATATATCCCTCAAACTCCGAATTATCATCTCATCCATGATGACGATGAGAATGATTGATGGTGCTGCTGCCGAGCTTTTCAGGGTGTCCATGTTGCCGTCATATTATTTTACGCCCTTCATCGCTTCGCTTCGCGGTCCAACTCCCCTGAGTGCCTCGCCCCTCACAAGTTATTGGGAGTCTTTAAGTCTTTAAGTCTTTTTATCCTCTTTTTTCTTTTTTTCTCTTTTTTATTTTTTTCATTTTTTCTCTTTTCTTCTCTTTTCTTCTCTTTTTTTCTTTTATCTTTTATCTTTTTTATCTTTTTTCTTTTTTTCTTTTCTTTTTTTTTCTTTTCTTTTTTGTCTCTTTCTCTGTTTTTTTTTCTTTCTTTTTTCGGTTTATTTTTGCAATCGAAATCTACATATCTTCAACTGTAATTCAAGACCAAGTCTCTTAAAATCTGATAATTATTGAATAAGCTATGCAATGTTTTGTGACGGAAGTTGTGATGCAATCCTCCTGCTTATTCGAAACTAGGAGCAGGTTCTACTAGGAACAATTTTTTATGACCTTACCTTTACTTTGATAAATTTTCAATTTTTTTTTTTTATGCATTTTTCCCAACCTTTCCTTTAAGCTACAGACGAGAGGGTACTCCCTTATTATTATCCATAGAAAATTATTTTGAAGGCGTCATTTGCTATTTTTTTTAAAGTTTTTTAAAATATCATAAAAATTTCAATTTTTAGAATTTGTAAAAATCCTCTTGTCTAAAGCTGGAAAAAATTACAAGAAATCGAACGTTTTTTTAAATCCGTCCAGTGGAGCCTGAAAAATTAGAGAAAGGGACTCATGACTCCACTTATTATACGACGTCCCCTTAAAGAACTTATGACTCCCCTAAGTTCGTCCCCTAGAAGAATTTATGACATCCCCTGAAGTCCTCTTAAGAGTGATACGTTATTATTATGATTTTATGTAATAGAGTAAGATGTGTAATGTAGTTCAGTTATAAGTAGTCGTGGATAATGGTTACTTTGACCACACTGGAAAGAAGGCGGTAAAATTTCAAACTTAGTATCTACCGATCACCGAAAATGTATGGTAACTTTTTGACGATTATATTGTGATCCCCAATAAAATTTCCAGCTTTTTCTTGTTACCAAACTTTGCACGACTGCCGGTATTTTTCCAGGACAACAGTGTCCGTATCAGTTGTTTCACTACCTGTTGGCTCTTATAGTATAGCTTTGGCAACATTGGGCTTACGTCTCTACTATCAGTACCCACTTAATATTGCAGCGCAGCTGCTTGCTATTATTCTAGATGGTCCCTCTTGTTGTAAAATGCACTCTATTTTATATTGCCCACCTACGAACTGATATTGTAGGAGCAGTGTTGCATCAATTTTTGTTACCTTTTTTTTAATACACTTCGAAAAAATTGAAACGGACCCAGGAAAAGTTGATACTCTTTCTTTGTAAGAGGTATATAATAAGTTGCAAAAAATGTAATCAAAATTAATGAATTCTATCATGTCCGGGCATGTGTAAACAAGACGAGAAATTTCATCATTTATTCAACATTATAGTATGTACTCAGTTACTGTTAACCGTTGAAGAGTATAATTTTGAGGTATAACGTTTTACATGTTTGTCCCGAGTTAGTGTATGAAAATTGTTTATGCTCACTTATACATTCGTGCGTGCTCAATCATCAAAAAGCAAACTTTAATTCTCGAATTTTTCTCAAAACTTCGTTTTTAAAAACTGCTTGATCAGATTTTTTATTTAAAAAAAAAGCATCTAAAATCATAAAAGAGCAAGCTGCCTTTGATTTTTGATGTTCCCAAATGACAGCGGAATTTTAAAATTCCAATATCGAACAAAATGGGAAGGCACTGTTAGTTATTTATGGAGACTGCAGCCTAGATAAAATTCCAATTGATTTTTAGTAAAAGTTTCAGGTGAATGGTTTGTTCAGCCTGTGGTCTATTATTCAGTATCCTGATGATAAGTCAGAGATCAGTTTCCAGCGTTCAATTTACGATTTTTGAGGACCTATGTAGTTAGTACACATCAATGACTCTCTAATTATGCAAGTAATATACTGAAATAAATAGAAGCAACGTGTAGATGTAATTTTTTTAACGAACAATTTTATCACGAAAAATATTTTTATCTATTGACACATAAAGATAAATAGAGATTCAATGAAAAATGAATTCCATGCACCAGGAAGATAGACAATTTGCAATGCAAAGAAAAAATAAGTTGCACTTTATTACGATCATGCAATCATATCACAATGAATTCCAAAAAGAGAAGCCCCTTCAATTAGTTGATAGGCAACATGCACGCCACGCCGATGCAGTAGCGATTATTTACCTCGTAAATCGCAATTGATGGCAACCTGCATGTGCGTCTTGGGTGTCTATTGATCGAGCGATCATCGGGATAAGTATGAATGCCCCCGAAAAAAGACAATAGAGAATTTGCGGGTGTCTGAAATTTGATGAATTTTGTGTTTAAGTGAAAACTACTGAGTGAACTGAACACGAGGATACCCTTATTGGTTTATGAACTGAACAATTATTGGAGATGACATGACAAAATGATCGAATCTGCTAAAATACATGTGTTTCAATGGGAAATGCCGCCAGATGACGTCACTAGACGGTGCATTTTCTCACTTTTAAATCTATTTTTATACTATTTCCCATATCAGAAAAAAAATTATAAAAAATACTGTGAAATCAGCTCTTTAAGCACTTTCAGATGGAGCAATAAAAAATGTGCATGCAAATTCTCCATTTGTCAAGAATTTAAAAAACCCCGATGGACGCAGAGTATCCGAGTTTAAAAGGCTTTCTCTTCATTTTTTTTCAGGTGACTGCTGCGATGTGGAGTTGATGCAGAACCCTTACGCGCTTTCCGAATTCCGGCACGTTGAGTACCCCCCGATGCCCCCCTATCTGGGGAGTCAGCGCCCTCAATACCGGCACCCCCTCCCTCCACCACCGCAAATCCCCGATTCGCCACCCCCACCCCCGCTCTACATCTACCAAAAGTCAAAAATGAACAAAGCTCTCGTCCACCCGCGACCGCGCCGGATTTCTCAGGCCAGGTAAAAGTCTTGCCAGATCGTCTTTATTACTGGAATTTACAGACATAGCAATAGACGAAGAAGATATAAGGAGTGTGGAGCGATCCCATTGCTTGAAACTGGTGGCTCTTATAGACTAAGGGGGAAAACGATAGACTAACTGGATAGCATTACGCAAAAAGGAACCAGCGCGATTACAGTGTTGTAAAAATGTTGCCTCTTCATAACCATCAAAAAAATCTCCCAGAATAGCAAATCGTTTTGACTCCCCACCAAAAAATTGTCAATTTTAAAGGAAAATAATTGCGTATATTTTAATACTGTACATATATTAGGTGATTTTCTTTTAAAAAAAGAAGAAGTTGCCCGATTTTGAAAAACACTGTAATCGCGCTGGTTCTTTTTTGCTGAATACGATCCAAGTTGATGATGATGATGAACCCACGATCCATTTGAAGCAATGGTAAAGAATCTATCATCAAGGTATCCGTTGCGAACATCCTGTCTATCGATCCTTTTCGATTCTTTCCCCTCATCGAAGTAAGTCATGCTAGTTTTGAGTAAAAGAGTTGTTTTCTATGATGATAGGACTTATTCGGCCAGATTTTTGTGCCAAGTCATAATTCCAACTTTCCGAGAAAACTACCTCTCTTTTTTTCATGCTGAAAGCTTTGACTCTCTTACACTTGTCCCTGAAATACAAGGTCCCCCGAGTCATTCAAAACTCTGAATTTTATTCATTTTTATTCATTTATTTCAGTTTTTTTTTTTTTTTTTTTTTTTTTTTTTTTTTTTTTTTTTTTTTTATAAAACTCGGTGTTTTGAATGACTCGAGGGACCTTGTATTTCAGGGACAAGTGTCAGAGAGTCAAAGCTTTCAGCATGAAAAAAAAGAGCGGTAGTCTTCTCAGGAAGTTGGAATCATGACTTGGCACAAAAAGATGGCCTAATAAGTCCTATGATCATAGGAAACAACTCTTTTACTCAAAACTAGCATGACTAACCGGTGACACTTTATTTGCCCTAAAAATGAGTTGATCTCTAGCTTTATCTGTTGAGTGGTTTGCCTATGAACCTTACCGGGAGTTGAACGTGTAATGAGGGTGGTAGCGGTAGCCATACTCTTGCGCACATAAGTATGAAAGTAGAAAAGGAGGGAAGGAAAGAGGTTTAAATGGTAGATAAATCGCTATATCGCAAAGTAAGCCACACTACACTGCCGTGCTGAGGAAGAACACCGTATGAACATTCAAGAGTTGCCAAATTTCCTTCAATAAAATGTTTATTTTTCAGGAAAGATATGAGTATTTTACCTTGAAATTTTCAGGGACTTTAGGTGAAATTGGGAACAAAAGTATCTCAAAAATTGGAAGGAAAATATTCATCAGTTTACCAGGAAATTGGTGTTTTATTAAAGGAAATTTGGCAACGCCTGAAGGCTCACGCGGCGTTTTTCTTTAGCACGGCAGTAGGTAACTGAATACAGCATCTCAAAATCTCCGACTTTTGAAAGAAAAACTAAAAAATATCATAGCTTGGACTTTTTGCAGAATAAGCGCGGGATCAGGGTAAAGAAAAAATAATATTAAAAACAATTTATGTTGTTTTCCTTTCAAATAATAAAATACGATAGGGTAACAAAGTCGCATTCTGAGGTTTGGGTCATTAGAGTTCAACTATCAACATACCATAGCGCTACGATTAGCATTGTTGTTTGAATGCGTAAATATCCTGACTCATTGAAAAGAACTCGGTAAAGGTCAAAAAAGCCTACAAAAGATGCGAATGGGAATGTTTGAGATGACGACAAAACTAACAACATATTATGCATGCTGGAAATGTGAGGTTGAACCATGATCGCCCGTCGCACAGTGCTGAACGAGAATCTAAAATTGACTTTCGAATTTTCCAAATATTGTTATGATATCCGTGACCAGGACAATATTTCTGACCCAAAGGCATATTTTTTTTATTTTCCTCAAAAAACCCGTTTAAATATGGGCTTGAAGTGGAAAGGAAAGTCGATCGGAAAGGAAGTGTCTCATAAGAATACACTGAACTTAAGTTGGCAACTTTAGATAAACTTTTCTCGAAAACTAGGGATATCCCTCCGGGCGGCTATCATTTTCTCATTCTTTGGACACCCAACTTTAATCCTGCAAAAGAACTGTCGCGACTTTGTGCGACTATCGGAGATATTTGCATTCAAAAATTGGTTCTAATCACGTTAAACTCAGCATTTTCAGTCGCGATATTGAGTGTCATAACTACTAATTACGTGTTTTTAGCGCATATACAGCAACTTTGGACCCATCGTGACGGCTCTCGGATGCTGGAAAAGTCGAAATTCGTGAAACTAAGGTACAGTGGGGCTCAATTGAATATCTCATGCTTTTTATGGTTCCACATGTCTGTTTTCACGCCGCACAGTGCGGCATCCTTTTATGGACGATGCGGTAAAAGACTTAACATTAATAATGAAGATAGTGGCACCGACATAGGAAAGCCTTTGGCACTATCAAAGTAAAACACTCGAGGAATAAGAAACTGCTATAACTCAAGGTTTCGAGAAAAGTTGATTTGAGGTTGGCAACCTCGAATTAGCCCTATGTTTACAATGTAAAAGCAACGTGAAACACCCAGACTTTAACTTCAAATATCTCCGATAGTCGCAAAAAGTCGCAAAATCTTTTTGGTGGAATTGAAGTTGGATATCTGAAGATTAAGAAAATGTTATCCACCCAGAGCATTTTGCAGTTTAAGCGAGGAATCTTCGTTTAAAGTTGTCGTCTTTTTCCTGTGCATTTCCAATGGACCAGTGATTCTCGACCCCATTTCCGCCCTCTTTCCACCCAAATTTGAACTAATTTTGGGCGAAAAATTCGAAAATGAACCATCATTGTGAGTTAGAAATATCTTCATGACAAACTCCAAAAAAAACATATTCAGATGTCCAGCCGTGGATTTTTGATAGTTGTCCACAGAGGGCCTCACTGTGCGCCGCCTTTGATTTGGGTCCACGTCGCTTACGCACACTGTGCGTCGATTACCCGACAAATGCCATTGTTTAAATAATTGTACTTATATTCTCTCTTCGGGCCAACTATTACCCCAAGAGTTAATGCCCTAAAAATGTGAAGAATTTGAATTGTGGGTTTCAGCTCGCTGAGCAGCGGCGACGATTACTGTTCGAGTAGCGACACGACGACGGGGACCTCGCTGCCTCTGCTGCCCGAGACGCGGATCGGTATGAGCACGTTCGGGCACATGAAGATCGACTACTCCTGGAATTGGAACAATTTGGACCGTTACATAGCCCAGTACTGAGCTCCAATCCCTATTCCTAGTCGAAATCCCACAAGTAGCGTCCATACTCTGCCCAGGCGTGGCGTGCTATGCGATATATCCATTGATCTGTCATTTAAACCTATGGAAAAGGATCGATTAACAGGGTGTTTGCAGCCAAAACCTTAATAATCGATTCTTTACTATGGATTCAAATGGGGAAATATCGAGAGTCGATCATTCACGCCACGCCACTGACTCTGCCGTGCAAAGGAAGAATGCCGCATGGACATTCGACACTTGCCAAATTTTCTTCGAATGCTGATTTTGAGGATAGTTAAGAATATTTTCTGTTCGAATTTTCAAATCATGTAGATTTAATTGTGGAGAAATTCTCTGAAAATCTGGAGGGAAAATACTCGCAGATTTCCCTGGTGATCCACATTTCATCGAAAGAAATTTGGCAATGTCTGGAGGCTCATACGTCGTTTTTAGTCAGCACGGCAGTACTGCCGCACTAAGGAGGAACGCCGTATAAACATTTGAGAGTTGACAAATTGCCCCGAATAAAACATGTATTTTTGAAGAAAATGATGCGAACTTTTCTTTGAAATTTTCAGAAGGTTAAGATACAATTGCGAACAAAACTATCTGAAAAAATCGCGGAACACTATTCACAATTGTCCCAGTAAGTTAAATTTTAATTGAAGAAAATATGGCAACGTCTAAAGGCTCATTCGGCGCTCCTCCTTAGCACGGCAGTAAAGTGCGGTACCAAGTCGCTATTTTCATAGTTATGTTGAAGTCAAAGCAACAGATCGATTTTTTTATCACTCACAGCGCTTGGCTCAAAATCAGTCGATTTAACCAAAGCTATTTACCATTAATATTTTAATCTTGTTGTTATTTTCCGTCCTCTTTTAAAGATTTTATTCGGAAGCACATGGGAGTACTTAAAAAGTTACTGCCAAAATCCAGAAAAAGTGAGGAATAAGAAGCTATTGAAATTCATTTGGGGTGCGTCACCGAAAGGCAGCTTTTAACCTCTCGCGTTAACTACCATTAAATAAGTAGGTGGAGTTGGAAATATATAGTTTATGCGGGTTTTGAAGCTTAATAATGCCTTAAAAGCTTGGAGTAGACTGTTTTTTGAAATAGGGGACATTCATTTTGACACTGCTAGCTCGATGAATTTGTTTTTCCTGAATCTTTCGCTTTAAAGGTAAATTCAAAAATTGTGATCGAATCTAAGAGAGGTCTACCTGACACAGTTAATTTTGCGTGAGTCGCCCTTCAAAACTTAAATTTCCTAGCCTCAGCTAAGTGTGCAGTTACTGCTTCAAATTTCTGAGCAGTGACGCGATAGTGTCCCCTTTTTATTGTACTAGTGGAACACTCATTGATTTTATATCCTGTGTGGCAAGCTTAGAGGTGATATTGTTCTTGACACGCCGCAGTTTAGATATAAGTTTCAACCTACGTATATTATAACTTAATAAGTTTCTGTAATCAACAACCAAAGGTGTATTTGTTATTATTTATGTAAATAAAATAAATTTAAACCAAAAAAGATTTCATTTATTGAAAAATTACATACGAGGTCTCCATCAACATGAAATGCACTTCGATGTAAAATCATCATTATGAAAATACAAGAAGTGATAATCGTCAATATTTTAAAGTGACTTAAGCAGGAATTTTTTATCAAATTATGACGCAAAAATACTTGTGCAACGCACCAACAGTTTACATTACATGATTTTTATTTTAAGAGAGAAACGACCAATACTTCAAAGTAGATCACGACCTGAAAGGACGATTTTTCTCCGTAGAAAAAGTTGGTATTATAGGTATTTACTCAAGTCAAACTTAAGGAACTTAACTATAACTCGGCTAAATTTATTTTCAAACCCCCTTATATATAATATCGACTGTATTTCATCAAATAAACTGCACACATTGGATGGAAGTTTACGAGGATATATTTGAGTAACCTGAAGTATGAGAACAATCATTTTGAGATAAAATTAGATTAGTCAGTTCGACTGCTCAGTCACGCGCGTGGGAGTATTACCAGACCAATGGCGATTTTGCAAGTTGGCAACACTGTTTTCCTCCATTTAAATCCGTTAAAAATATCGATTTCAGGTGAGGCAAGCTTCCTCACCAAGAATCGATTATTTTGCATGAATTTGCATGGAAAAAACAGTGATACCAACTTTCAAGAATCGCCACTATTCTGGACCTGCCCCATTGAAGTTCATTGTCGGTCCCTTCGAGGGTTAAATTTGAAAATACCTTGTACCCCCCGGACAGCTGCGTCCTCTTTAGTGCGATGCTTTTAAGTCCAGTCTACAAGGTTTCCATGAAAAAAAGGCTGTTTGCGGAAAATGTTCACCCTATGTTTTTAGCTAGTTGAAGCTGGTTTCATCGTTTTCCCCGAAAAATTACGGTTTTTCCGTGCAAGTACTTAAAATTAGGTACGAGCGCATCAGTGAAGCAACTTTTCCGTTAAATGTGTGTATTTGTGTGGCAAAAGGGATATGAGAATTTAAAAAAAGCAGTGCTTCAAGAATGAGCTCGTGCCGGAATAGATATTTAGGCACGAAAAAAACCACCTAAAAACCATATAGCCACCAGATAACTGAGCTAAAGGACAAGGAAAAAATGTCTCCGTGCTTCAACTTCCGGATGGGAACCTCACATGTTGGACACTAAAGGTGATTCGACGGTTGCCATTTTTTGTGTCAGAGCGACGTGTGATACATGGCATCAATTCGTTCCATACTTTCAGCTACTTGTCATTTTTTTCGAATTTTGATATCGCACTTCTGTTGTCATGAGACTAAAGAATTCGTGTACCAAATTTGACAAAGAAATTCAACGTATTAAAGGCAGGGTTTTACAGAGGAAAAATATCGCATTCGACTGTAGTTTCGATATCAGTATCGAATGCGATATCTGTTCTCTAGATAAACCCAGACTTAAATACGGTGAATTCCTCTTTCAAATTTGGTACATGAATTCTTTAGTCCCATGACAACAGAAGTGCGATCTCAAAATTCGAAAAAAATGACAAGTAGCTGAAATTGTGGAACGGATTGATGCCATATATCACACGTCGCTCTGACACAAAAAATGGCAACCGTATAGAATCACCGTAAGGTAATTGGTGCGGGGTTCTTGGCGTGGTCGAATTGGCGTGAGATAAATCGCATCGATTAAGTGAAATATCTTGGTCGATTTTGACTTGATAGGCGAGGAAAAGACGACAGCCCCTGCGATAAACCCAAAGTATCATTACTATCATTTACGACCAAAAACTTTCCAAAATTCAGAAGAATGAGGGCCGTCTGGACATTCATTAGAAAAAAAAAAAAAAAAATGGCGTTCGACTCAAAGGTCGATTACTGCATCGAAAGTTTTTTCCTAGACAAATCCTACCTTCATTCCTTTAAATTGTGCATTTTTTGTGGTTGAGAGTGAACCATTGAGCTCATGCACAGAAGCTATTTACTTTTCTCCGACTAACAAGTCAAAATTTGCCGAGATTTTTTACATAATCAATGGGATAAATTGCACGGCAGTTCGACCACGCTAAGAACCCCGGACGAATGACCTTAAGCAAAAAATATAACGTAGTTTGTCTGCAATCGCGAGGCGTGAAAATCGACTATGGAAATTTACCCAGTTAAAGCTATGGCACAGATTCGATTATTTTGAGGTTCGTTGCGAACGCCCTGATAATCGATCTACATTGGCAGATCCAGTAATTTGGCAACACCGGATTCCCTCCATTTAAACCTATGAAAATGTATCGATTATTGGAGGGGCTAGGTGCTTCAGCAAGAATCGATTATTTTACATAGGTTTAAATGGAAGGAATCCGGTGTTGCCAATTAGTTGGATACGCCTCTGTTGATCTTTTTCCAGCTGTTTAAATGGCAGATAAATAGATACATTGCAAATCACGCTACGCCACTGTTTTCCTGATAATACAAGGTATTTCCAAATGTGACACTCGAGGAGGCAGAATTTAGCCCCTAGATGGGTCGAACAAAGAAAGATCTCACTGGATATTCAAAAATTAAAAACACGTGGAACATAAAATGGACGTTAGTACCAAATTAGCGTATTTATAATGGTAAAAGGAGGAAGTGGTGGATATCTCACAGACAGCGGGTACTTTCCTCGGAGAAGAGCTTCTTCCTCTTGATTTTCATGGGGTAAGATAGAGCATTCTCCTCGTCGGACAGGGCGGAGGGGTCTCTTCCCCCGACGAAGCTCCTTCTCTCGGAGGCTCCTGCTTTCGGCTTCTCCGTTTGCGACTGTGACGAGAGGCTCTGCAATGCGAGGGCATCAGTGACCTCCGACACTCCGGGGTCGCCAGATTCCTCCCGGGGCGGGGGTAGATGAGAGGGGGCGGGAAACGATGTGGCAGGGGTGCGGCCCGTGTCGAAGGGATGCGCCGCTGTCAAGATCGGCGACGGGAGCGACACCCGCTTCCCGAAGGAGCTCTCCTGCAGGGGACGACTTTGAGCGCCTTGAAAACTGAAAATATATCTCACACTAATGATGCACTCTTGAAAATAACCGTATTCAGTAACGTTAGTTCAGTTCAGTTACAGTTAAACGTTATAGACAAAGCTGTAGACAAAGCCACAGACCAAGATATAGACAAAGCCATAAACCAAGCTATAGACAAAGCGATAGACCAAGCTATACTGCCGTGCTAAGGAAAAACGGTGTATGAACCTTCAGGCGTTGCCCAATTTCTTTTGATAAAACAAAGATTTCCTGGTAAGCGTATAAACATTTTTATTTAGTTTTTTACATAATTTTGTGCACAGTTTCATCTAAAGTTCCTGAAAATTTCAAGGATAAATATTCATGATTTTCTTCAAAAATTAATATTTTATCGTAGGTTTGGCATCTCTCGAATGTTCATACGGCGTTCTTCCTTAGCATGGCAGTATAGACAAAGCGATAGACCTAGCGATAGAACTTTTTTTCGAGGGTACTTTTAAAGGTTCACTTGGAAAGGGCTTTGAAAAGCACTTAAGACGCCTTCGTCTTTTCTCGATACTGTACGCATTACCACGAAGACTTTTTAATTGCCTATCTGATCCCAGCGCCTTTTACTTCATACTTTTTTCTCTAAAAATTAGCGAGCCGAGCGGCCCGAGACAATTGTTACAGTAAAAAATTAAGGGGGGGGGGAGGCGGGAAACAAGGCCAAAATACACAATTTGAAAAAAAAAAAACCGAGACGTTCCGACTTAGAACGGAGTCATTTTCAGTCGGAAATGTTACAATGCAAATTTAAAAACTATGAAAAAGCTGAGCCCTACAACCCTACATGGTGGTGGCCGGGATTTGAGAAAATTCTTTTTTTCTCAATTCAGAATTCAATTTTCTCTGGTCCCGGCCACCACCATGTAGGGCTCGGGTTTTTCATCGTTTTTTAAATTTTTATTGTAACATTTCCGACTGAAAATAACTCAGTTTTGAGTCGAAACGTCTCAGTTTTTTTTAAAATTGTGTATTTTAGCCTCGTTTCCCGTTTTTTCCCCTTGTGTTTCTACTGGCTTCATTCTTGTTGCTACTGTCGAGTCATGCATAATTGACATGCAAGGTAATACAAGATCACTTACCCAGGAGCATCTTTAAGTTTATTTTGGATTTCTCGCTCGGCTCGGAGTCGCACGCTCAATTCCTCCCTAATTTTATTGGAGCGTTGAAGTTCATCGTTCAACGCAACGTTTTTGCGGATCTGCTGATTGAGTTGGTTCTGGAGCGAATGAATTTCCTGCTTCAGACTGTTGATTTCTTGTCCAAAGTACTGATCCGTTTCTGCCAGCGTCTGGAAAAACAAAGTGCGTCATGCATCCCTGCGAAAAACGATCATGTTGGTGCCATGTTGAGAGCATGTTACCGCCAACATGATTCATTTCGGACCAATATGCTTACCATAAAATTGCGATATTTTTACATCGTTTGGTCGATAAATGCCGATTTTAAACGATCAACAAAGTGAGTTCCCATAGTGTCAGAAAGATAGGCAATACGCGGTGCCATGGAAAAATGCAACTTATTTCAATTGATTTCCAATAGATGTCAGTTAGCCGTGCGCCTTCAATCAGTGGATAGGCAACATACACAACGCTCCAATGCAGTAGCAATTAGCTTATAGCAATACTTTTACCAGGTAATAGAGAATTTGCAGGTGTCTGAAAGTTGACGAATTTCGTGTTTAAGTGACAACTACTGAGTGAACTGAACACGAGGACACCCTTATTGGTTCATGAATTGAACAATTATTGGAGAAGATATGACAAAATTATCTAATCTGCTAAAATACAAGTGTTTAATTGGGAAATGCCGCCAGATGACGTCACTAGGCGGTGCATTTTCTCACTTTTAAATCTATTGTTATACTATTTTATCAAAAAAAAAATATAAAAAATACAGTGAAATCAGCTCTTTAAGCACTTTGAGATGAAACAATAAAAAATGTGCATGCAAATTCTCCATTGCAATGTATTGCAATCTGTGCTATACTTGAGCAATGATACCATCCTGCAGACTGATTGTTAGAATTGATCAATTGTAGATTGATTGACAAAGAGAAAATAAGAGTTGGCATTGAATAGTAAAAATTGGCTGAATTCTTCGAAATGGCGACCTCTTCCAGCGCAGAGTATTTTGAAATGGAATGAATGAATTTTATTTCATAAAAGACATGTAAGACTAATAAAGACTCATGTGGACTTTTAAATTATAAAAACCATGAGTTACACATACTATGATATTTAACATTTTCATCGAACACGCATGCATTGACCGTCTGCTATAACTGGCAGCACAGAGTAGTTTTATGGAAGAAGAGCATATTTACCAAAACGTTAAATTTCTTTATTTCTTGCTCAATTTCTCTAACCCTCCACGTATAACCGTGGTCTTATTGCAGTTGGTATATATAACATAGGTTACTTTTTTCGAACTGAATTAAAAAATTGTTGAAGAATCCATGCTATCCATGCATATGCTTTCTCGCAACTTAACTTTTAACGGTTTCATCTCTCTTTTAAAAAATCCCGCTGAATTGTTCAGGAACAACGTATGTGTCTTTTGTTTTCATATGCAGATAAGTGTTTTTACTCATGACTTGGAAATTGTTCTTCCTAATTGCAAAATTAAGACCGAAATTATGTACCCGCACACTCTCAGACCATTTGGCCTCATCAATCAAAGGATCAGAAGTGGAGTTTGAGATCTCACCTTCTGATGGGTGTTGATTAAAGCGTTAATTTTTTCGCGATGGTCAAAGAGCATCCGCTTGTAGTCTTCAATGGTTTCCTCAAGTCTCTCCTTTTCAACAGCGTGCTAAAATACAAGTAAAGCACAAAATAAATATTTATTTAAACTTTAAATTCATTGACCCTCTCACATAGGACATTACGGCATCTTATATAAAATAAATATAGTAATTGCAAATTTCATAAATGACTCATCGGGGAGGTGTGAATGGTTGATTATCGATATTTCCCCATTTGAGACTATGGTAAAAAATCGATTATTAAGGTGCGCGTTGGGAACAACCTGTTTATCGATCCTTTTCCATAGGTTTAAGTGGTAGATCAATCGATATAACGCAAAACACGCCACGCCACTGATGAGTAAAAAAATAGGGAAAAAGGGAAGGAAGAAAAGAGGATAAGGAGTGGAGGAAAAGAGAGGGAAGGGCACTTTTACATAGTAATTATATTCATTTCGAACTTGACTCAAACTACATATTAGGTGCTTTAAAATTCCGAGAATTTTCCGGAGAAAGTCCCCCCCCCAACCCCTTTGAGGTGTCTAGATCAGCTTGCCTGTGGCTCTTAGTCGAAGGCAATACAATAATAACTCGAGCCCCTTCAATTGGAAGGTAGGCAACATACACAACACTTCGATGCAGTATGGTAATCCTTGTACCGTCTGATCGCAATAAATGACAACCCTGCCCTGTGCGTGCTCCTTGCGCAGATTTCAAGCATTGTTACAAGCGCAGATGTAAATCACTGGAATAGCATAATTAGCAGGTATTTTCCTAATGACGAACCTGATTTTTCACGCGGTTACTCATGTGAAGTTTACACCATGCACTTTGAGGATCATTTTCAATGTTATTTCACTTTTACTCATGTTTTCTATTTCACGTGAGACTTTTTACTATATATTTTTACATAAAATCGAGGGCTAAATTCTGTGAACATACTTTAATAACAGCATTTTATAATTCACATACCTATTCTGCTTTATAAGAGAAAGCAAACCAATTTTAATTTTGCTCACAATTTCATCCAATATAAGTTGTATACCGAGAGGTAAAATCAAGAAGCTATTTAAAATATACAACTGATCAGTTTTCCACTTGACAAAAAAATAGAGTAAGACGGGAAATTTACGACGTCGCAAATTTAAGCTTGTGTTTGCTGACGAGTTTGTAAAGTGTAGAGTGAAAAGATCTCAGAAATTTCATTATTCCTTCCGAGCAAAATTTTCGTTGATGCTGATGAGTTCTCTCTCTATTCCCTTGTGTAATTCTGGGTATAAACTCTCAATTTTAATAAACCGAGTATTTTACAAGACTGTAGACGCACACCAGGCCCGGTAGGATTAGTGCAATCATGCAGGCAGATTATATTGAAATCGCTAGACAAAGCGATGGACAAAAGAAACAAAGGGAAAATATGGGGATCCTATCGGTTAAAGCGGTTGGTTGCAATGGACAAAGGAGGTAAGTCCATCAGTTTTCCCCCTGGTCTGTATCAACAACCCGTATCAACCATTCTTCCGTGCTAAGGAAAAACACCGTATGAACCTTCAGGCGTTGTCAAATTTCCTTTGATGAGACACGCGTAAACTTGTGAATATTTCCCCCCCCCCCCAATTTTTCAGACAATTTTGTACACAATTTAATCAAAATTGTCTGAAAATATCAAAGAAAAATGTGCATGAATGTCGTCAAAAATACATGTTTTACGTAGGGAAATTTGGCAACCCTCGAATGTTCATACGGCGTTCTTCCTTAGCACGGCAGCATTGAGATGGCTCCATTTTCTCTGCGTCCTCTTTGGCTATCGCTTTGTCTATCATCAATTTTAATAATAAGCTCGCTGAAATTCTAGGGCTATGGCACCTACCCAAGATGCAGGTGGTGGTATTCTAGGACTAAGCTCTCGGGAATTGGTTCCCGTTTTTCCTGTGTCTTTTTCAAAGCACATACCAACAGAAGCCAATAATCAACAAATGAGCTTAGATTTTTGGTACCAAATTTGAGAGAAATGTTAACAGTTACCTTAGCAGTGAGCTGGGAGATCTCCATGCCATTCTGGGCAATTTTAGCTGCGAAATCTTCAATCATGGCTGAACGTTCCAGCTCCGTATTACGATCAGTCTCCTGTTTCTCTTGCTCTGCAAAAAGAAACAATTGTCAATATGCTTTGCGATATAGCGATTGATCTGCCATTTAAACCTATAGGAAATGATCGGAGTGAGCTGGGAGATCTCCATGCCATTCTGGGCAATTTTAGCTGCGAAATCTTCAATCATGGCTGAACGTTCCAGCTCCGTATTACGATCAGTCTCCTGTTTCTCTTGCTCTGCAAAAAGAAACAATTGTCAATATGCTTTGCGATATAGCGATTGATCTGCCATTTAAACCTATAGGAAATGATCGATAAACAGGGGTGTTCGCAACGAACACTTCAATAATCGATTCCTTACCATCGCTACAAACGGGGAAATATCGATAATCGATGATTCACGCCTCCCCTCTGTTTCCGTCTCCGAGGGGGGTCAAGTGTTGGAGAATACGCGACTGACATAAACGGATCCAGGCATTTTGTGCGGGAGGGGTGGGAGGGGCGTCCAGGGAGCTTTCTCCCAAAAATGTCGAAATTTTAAAGCATTTCATGTGCAGTTTGAGCCAATTCCGTTATGAATAATTACCAGGTATTAGAAGGGCCCTTTCTTCTCTTTTCTCCGTTCCTCCCTTTTTTCCTCCTTCTCTCTTTCTTCCTCCTTTTTTGGAGGGAAACGGGAGGGGCGCCCCCCCTTTGAACTGCCTATGGCGACTGATAGTAATGTGATGCGGGAAGCGGAGGCAGAATACTGCCGTGCTAAGGAAAAACGCCGTAGGAGTCATCAGGCGTTGCCAAATTTCCCCTGCCAAATCACTAATTTTCAGGAAAATTTTTGAATGTATGTTTACCAATTTCTCGGATAATTTTGTTGGTAATTTCATCTAAAACGTCTGAAAATTTCAAGAAAGAATATTCATGTTTTTCCTCAAAAATAAACATTTTATCGAATGAAATTTGACAACTCTCGAATGCTCATACGGCGTTCTTCCTTAGCACGGCAGTTTAAGACTTCCTAAAAAAAACATTTTTTAAGGGAGCGTCGGCGAGTGAAAGAACCCCCCCAAGAAGGGGCAGAGCTAAAAAATCGGAAGAAAGCCAGAGGTCATTCATACGAATTAGAGGCATAAACAGTGCCTAAAGGGTCGTTAAGAAAATGAAGAGTCATAAAAAGTCACGAGGCTTACCTAAAAAGGCCAATTTTTCTACCATGACGGCTGATTCCTTTTCGTATTTTTCGATGAGAATTTTTCTCTCGGTTTCTAATGCACAAATAGTAGCGTCTCTCTCAGTCTCTAACTTACTCCTTTCAACTTGGTACATCTAGGACCATAAAAAAGAGGAAATACGTGAGAAAATCAAACATAAAATATTCTATTAAATATGAAATATTTGAGCTGTACAAGATGTTCGATGGAGCTATAGGGGTGGTTTCACGATATCTGGAGTAGTTTTGTCGCCGTGACAGACAAAAAATTCCTCGGTCATATTTTTAGTAGAAATGATAATCACTCGAATTTTTTCGCAATAATCATCAAAGGCTTCCGTATAATAACGCTTTCTAATGATTTATTACTCTACTCAGGCTCAGATTGGCCATAAAGTCAATCTGTCATTGGCAGATACGCCTCCTTGGCGCGCCGAAAACGCGCCCCTCCTACATATAGGTAGCAAAATTAGAAGAGAAAAAAAATTACGACCGAGAATATTTGCGGGAAATGCCTTAAATGAACGGAGGGAGAGAGAGTTAGGAGCAAGGAAACGTGCTTTTACACATGATAGTGGTAAGCAGAGGAACTACTTTCTGAAGCGTAAACACTTTTTTGTGAAATTTTCACCTTTTTGTTGACATACAGGCGCTTATCATATCCCCCTCCTTTATTCGCTATGTGTAACTCCCGTAGAAGCAATGGTTCGTTCGATTCTCAGACATACGCACCCTTTATAGACCTCTTGAGAGACCTTTAAACATATTTCTTCCTTTTCAAAGTGACTATTGATTTGAACATCCTCGGGCATACGCGATAAAACTATTCGCGCAAAACGGATGTCCACATTGCATGTGAAAAATTTAAGACGCGTTGACGTGAGTCGTGAACTCGCAACGCTCTGCCCTATACTACTAGTTTTAAGCACCATTACGAATAAAGACAAACACAAACAAACACAATATGGAAATAAAGCGAGGGAAAGGATGCGCGTTGACGACGGCGCAGAGATACAACTATTCGTACTCGATGGACGTCTGTGCTGCATCTGAAAAATTGAAGGCGCGATGACGCGAAGCGTGAGCTCTCAATGCTCTGCTACATGCTGTCAATGAGGTGTCGCTCAGATTCGGGAGGAAAGTTAAAAAAGAGGCACAAATACGTCTTTCCTGTCTTCGACTGTGTTGATACTGGTTCTTTCTTCTTTTATCAGGTTCTTGTCTGATTCTTTTCTAAGGATGGATTTGCAGACCCACGTCTTAAGCTAGTGTAAACCGCAGCACTGGTTTGATTCTTTTGGAGATAATGGTGCTTGGTTGCGTCTACTGGCTTTATTATGTTTTTTTTTTTTTTTTTTTTTTTTTAATTTCAGAAGTCTGTCGGTTACTTCAATACGTTCAATTTTGAAATTTTTACTCCGTACGATTAATAAACTTTGAACCTGAAAATAGCTAAAAATTTTCTGAACAGCTCTCCACGTAGGGGATGCCCTACCAGGAAATAACACATTAAGCCCCTTTAACCAGCCAAGGGTGTACGCCCTTTGATGCGAGCCAGTCCGACTCTGGCTCTACTTCTCAATTAATATTATGTGAATTCCGAAAATGTGCTGTCTTACGCGGTAAAAAGTCAGCGTAACAGACAGCAGATTTTCGGCCATTTATATTTTAAAATTGAAAAGTAGAGCGATAAATCTTTGGAAAACGTTATAATACGTAACCCTGTGCAGATAAATACAAAAAAATTCGAAAGATTAACAATACTACTAAAAATATGACCGAAAAATGTGCTGTCTGTTACGGAAACAAAACTATTCCAGTTATCGTGAAACCACACCCAAGAAGCCAGGAGAAACTGTTCGAATGAGTCCGAATTCCGATAATTTTTCTTTCTTTAATTATTTTTGGGTGTCCAAGAGGTATATCACGCATTTGAAAATTCTTTTGTTGGAATTGAAATCTGGGAAAATGAGAAGAAAATAAACATCTAAAATAATTTTCAGGATTCATACAAAATCGCAGCAGGTGAACGATTTATACTGCGTCATGGTCCACATTCGCAGAGTGGATTCCTACCGCACAATATATTTTTATATCGTGGGTACGTATATTATTTTACGCAATGTATTTAACAAAGAAAAGTAAAGGATTTATTTTAGCATGCATTATTCGGGAGAACATAACTCTAAAAATCTTAATTGAAAAATTAGCACAAGCACCATGGGAAAATAAAAATAATGTGGGTGATTTGCGGGAAGGGCCGGATGCTGTAGTTTTGGACTATTTTGAGAAAAAGACTTAATACTTTTCAAAAATAAAAAAATCATTCTTTCAACACTATTATAAAGGAAAGAATGGTATGTCAGTACCAATAAAAGCTCGAAACTCAACGAGAATATTCATATATTTTCAGACTTAGCCAACACCTACAAAACCTTATAGTTTTAAAAGGAATGAAGAAGGACAAATCGTGGAGGCAAGAGACTGCTAAATGAGCAATTTTTAGAGAGTCTGTCTCACTAAAATGAGCAAAACTTAGTTTTCAACATTTGTCGCTTCTCAATAGCATTCACCTACCTTATTTTCAAATTAATAAGGTAAATTATTTGGATTACATTTTGCAAGAAGGAACCACTATCTCTGGATCTCCCATAAAAGCACTTATCTGCAAAGGGAAAACAATGTCATGTATGTTGTTTCGAAAATGGGCCAAAATTAAAGGTTCCCTATTGCAAAATGTAATCCATTTGTACATACCTCATTTCGCAAGTAGGAACTACTATTTCTAACTCATCCGTAAAAGCTCGTACCTGCATAGGCGAATGGATGGCACATAGTTTATTCCTAAAACGAGTCAGGAATAGTAGTTTCTTATGCAAAATGAAGTCCATTTGACGGACGATAACGATGATGATTGGCCGCGCAACTCTGTGGTGTTAGTAACGCCTGGGAATGCAACTATTACCGCTCACCGGTCGTGCGTGTTACGGTTGAAGCAATTGAAGGCGCTTTATATTTCTGATGGTCACTTAAAGTAAGCAGTTAGACATATTATGCTTGGGAAAAATGCCGCGTGCTGTTGGCAACGAAGATTCCTCCGAGAGACCGATCAAATCCAACAAAAAGAAACCAAGTTTTTTTCTTCTTTTTTTACAAGAAAGTTTTTTATTGGTTGTTTTAAGTTTTTTCTTAGATTTTAGGAGCCATGTTACTTCATAGAAGAGGAACCACTCAGAAATCGCATATTGCAAATACAAAAGAATCACTATGCTTTGGCTCTCATGACTGAAATAATTCCACTAGGAGGGAATCTAAGAGGGAACCAAGTGTGCACTGTGCACTTACAAGCAGTGCCTTTCTCTGAATTAATTTACCGCTTTTTCATTCAGCGGCAGAGAACTGGGTTATTTTCAATTTGAAAAAAAGAAAAAATGTTGAAATTTTTTAAAAAAATTTTTTTAAAAAACTTGACTACTCGGCCTGATGTGCGCAACCAAAACTCCTGTAGTTTGCTAATTGTAAGATTATTACTACTTTAAAACGTAAATCTTGTTTATGATCTACGACAAGTGAACTCTTAACTTTCAAGAAACAGTACCAACCAAAACAACAATAAGGATAAAAACTTTTCGTTACTATTGTTTTAAAAAAATGAAATAAGAGCGAATACACAATGCAACGGCACAATTGCTAGAGATGTCTTTTTCTCACTTCAGTCAACCGCAACACTACTTCAGTGTTACTTTTTTACTTGACACACAATTACTAAGATTATTATGAGACAAAGACTTCACGAAGATAGAGGATTGCCTCAAATAGTTAATGACGAAGTAATACTAGAGATTTCAATACAGTAGACGTAATAATGAAAATATTACCAGTTCCTTTGTCTCCAGAGTTTTTTTCAGATCATGTGCATTAACTGGAAAAGAAAAATGATGTCATCAGAATTTGAAACATACTAAGGACAATAATTGGTTGTATTTATGCTAAAAAGATGTGCATAGTGAACGAGTCCAACATACAACCTTTTCAAACATCTACTTGGGCAGTCATTCTGGATGAAGTGTAAAGGGTGGAGGGGGCGGATCCAGCAATTTGGCAACACCGGATTCCCACCATTTAAACCTATAGAAATGTATCGATTTTTGGAGGAGCCAGGTGCTCCGACATGCATCGATTATTTAGCATAGGTTCAAATTGAGGGAATCCGGTGGGTGGAGGGGGCCGTTTGGGGGGGGGTGTTTGTACAGGGTTGTCAAATATATGAAATTGGTGCCAATTTCCACCATTCTGCATTTGTGCAAATGCCATCCAACGAGAGAACCGGTATCTACAATCGTCCAGCGGCGTGGCGTGCTTTGCGATTTATCGATTGATCTGCCATTTAAACCTATAGAAAAGGATCGATAAACAGGGTGTTCACAACGAACACCTGGGTCAGTCCATTGTAACGGGCCGGACAACCGCACGCCTTTGAGTAATAAAGAAATGAATTTAAAATCACATAAATTTAAAATAAATTGTACCAGTAGATAGAGCTCAGTGTGTTATTTCCAAAAGTGTACGAACTTACTTTTTTGTTTTAATTTTTAAGGGAGTTATACCAAAAATAGAGCCGTAACGGGACGGACAGTTTTTGGAAGTGAGTTTTGACTCCCTTGAGAAAATTGAATAACTCAGCGAATTTTACCATGCAAAAAATCCACAAAAAATGTATATAGTCCTCAAGGGTTCAAGGTACTATGCTATTTAAACTAATTTTCATAAGTATTGAATGAAGCATAAAAAAAATTGAAAAATCTGCGTAACGGGACGGACAGCATTTGTAACGGGCCGGACAGAGTACGACTGACACATGGTTTTACGGCTGAAAGTCATCTGTATATGATCATACATTGGTCCAATTTTTTCTATGCATTAATTTAAGGTTCTGACTGATTAATTTAGATGGATAAAATGCAATTTTTTGTTGATTTTTATTTTTTGCAGCTTGTAGAAGTAGTAGCAAATTGTACATAGGTACCTATTGATTTTTTACTCTTTTCCCGAAATTTCAATTATTTTGATTAATTTTCAACCCACAACACTCAATCCTTTAGTTATCAATACGATTTTGTTAACTTGGAAACAAAATTATGAGCATAATAGTCAAAATAACACTCGTAACGGGTCGGACACTTTTCTCTTAAATCAATAACTTGAACTGTTACTCGCTTAAGAGCGACAGTTCATTAATGCAGTTACTTAAATTTTGAACGCTATCATTATAGGAGTCAGAACCTACTTTTTTCCTTTACTTAGTAGTTATTATTTTTTTGTTTTTAAATATATAAAGCAAAATAAAATGAACTCTTTATCCCCTGGAAGCCGAACGCTTTCTTTTCTCCGAGTTTCTTTGATAACAGTTCCAGCTCCCCATCCACCTGCACATAAATTTTATTACTTATTAGGATATGAAAATGATTTTAAAACAGTTAAGATTTCTTTTAAATCAAAATTTGAACTTTATTAATGTTTTACTGGCAGAAACATCAAAGAAAATAATAATAAAGAAACAAAAGCTCGAGGAAAAATAAATAGTAACTAGTACCAAAAATAATAATAATAATAGTAATACTTCAATGGCACGGTGTGAGTATCAAATAAATGAGAAGTTATACTATGTCTAAACAAATATAGGAATAAATGGAGTGGGCGGAACAGAAAAACTTGAGTGTTTTTAAATTTTGTTTCGAAACGTAAACGGTGGATTCAAAAGTTTTAAAACTTTTTAGTGGTTGTCGCTTGAATAAAATTGTCAATATAAATAGTGAAAATTGTGAACAGAGGTTGAAATTTTATCTTAAACGTAGTAGACAAATAACCAAAAAAAAGAATTGCATTTAAGGCAATAAAAAACAAAAAAAAAATGAAAAAAATTTTCTGTTCTGCTCTTTTGCGGCGCTTCCGTTCTGCATCTTTCTTCTTAACAGCCTCCGCATCTGATGGATGATTTTTTAAATATTCTCTTCTTCGCTGTTTCCTAATCTTGTCTCTCAGCCTTTCTTTAGCCAGGTGGGCTTTATAGGCAGCTGGGTCCTCTTTCAATTTTCTGCGGTGCTCCTGCATCCGGTTTGCAAAAATGTCCATTTTTTAAAACCTGAAACAACAAAATTGCTTTAAAATCCAAGAAAGTGAACATTTTGAGGTTTTTAAGTACCTCCTAGGTCTAATAAGGTTCTTCTGATGTTTCTAATACAGCCCTTTCACAATCCTGAAAATTAGAACCCACTGTGCCCATAAATAGCGAAGTTCAATACTTGTCCGGCCCGTTACGTAACGGGACGGACACATTTTAAGTATGTTGTTTTCAACATCTCACAAGGTATAAAAATTGAAAAAAAAATTGAGGAGAACCTGAGTTATCAGAACAAAGTGAATCCAAAAATTCGCATTTAAATATGCAAAAATAAGCAAACAAATAAAAGAAAACCATCTTTTTGCGTAACGGGCCGGACATTTGATGAACCCAACTTCAAAGTAGTAAAACTCGTAAGTACTTACTTTTAGAAATCCAACTTTTGCGAGCCCGTATTTGTTGTCATGTTTTTTGTGAGATCAAAACATAACTTCAAATAGTTGTGAGCCAGGAACAGTAAAAAAGTGCTGCCAACTTACACCTTTTCCAGACCTAAAATACACTGTACAGCACCAAGTCATAAAACAAACAAAAACACACAAAATAAACAAGAAAAATCGCGAAACCCGTATATTTTCGGAAACTAGAAGTTATTTGCCGTTCAAAAATGTATTCAAAAAGAAGTTTTACTGTATTTCAATTTTAGACCCTCAGGTTGACCTTACCATGGACCGACCCACCTTGATAATGGATTTTTTACCACGGCTTCAAATGTGGACTTATCGATAATTGATCATTCACGCCTCGCCACTGCAATCGGCCTCTAGTAAAAAATTGAAATTTGCAAATAAATTTGCCAACATCTGATGTCACGTGGTTTTTTTTTAGAAACATTGCCCATTTGATACTGATTAATGAGGAAACAGCAAATAAATATTCTTACTCGAGTCTTGAGTTAATTCATTAATGTGCTCTAGTTGGGTGAGGATCAGTGCCTGGCTTTGCTCATTCCGTTCTTTCCAATCATTTTCTCTCTGCTCAAATGTTCGAATTTCATCTTCCAAACGGCCAATTTTCACTTCGCACTCTTTGAGCTGTTGCCATCTTAGTTCAGCTGTCTAAATTGGGCAATTTAATAAAAAAAAAAAAAAATGAATTGTGTTTTCGTGAGTATTTAAGTAAATACTTCATGAATGTGAGAATATATTGATTTTGAAACTAGCAAACTTCTAATCTTGATTATCAAAATTATAATTGACAAAATTATGAGGCTGCTCCTTTGAGCATAAAACCGTCTTGAGGAAGTAGGACCTATAGGTTGAAAATATTTTAGTAGAATCACTTTTGTCAAGTTATGTCAAAAATCAGGAGGTGAATTTTTAAAAGAAATACGCTCTCTGGTATCTGATTAATAAATCGAATCAGTTTTATACGGAGTCGTACCTACAGATAAGCGCAGGTGAATTGATTTATGTTTACCTATACCATTTCACCGAGAAAAACATCGATATTAATAAGGATAGCTATTTTGGCCAGTAAATTCGAAGTGCTTCAAAACAGCCTCTACGTAAATAATTTATATTTACATTTGGATGTATTTATGCGAAATTGAACTATGTGGAAGTGGAAAGATTGTCGTGCTCGTGATTATCCTTTTAGTGCCTGCTTTATTTTTACTTTGATTATGTCATTTTTTATGATGTGGTTGGTTGATCGGTAGATACGTTTATTTAAAAGTGCTTTTAACATCTAGGTCATTAACACATTAGAGGAGAGATCAAAATACTCAATAACATTATTCAAAGGAAAAACTGCAGCAGTGAACTAGCTTTAAAATATCGATGATTACCTGCCTACCTATATACTGATGGGCACATAATTTTTATGATAAAGAACACAACACTTTATTACCTCGAAATACTGACGGAAATACTCTTGTGATTCCAATAAATCAGTGGACAATTCTGGCGGTGAATCCATCTTTGAGTAAAACTTGAGTAAAATTAACTTCGCAAATATAAGTAGAGAAAAAATCTGAAGCGACTTGACAACACAGACTGAACATAATAGTTCCCGCCAAAGGAAGGTTCAAATCTCCGATCACAGCTGTTATGTAATTTTACGCGTGCTCGCCAGAGCAAGTTGAAGCAGCACTTGTCAGTTTTTGAACCCGTTCAAGCAAAAACTGAGAGTCGAGGGTAAACAAACGAAGTACTTAAAACTAAAATTAAGCTAAATTCGTTTGTTAGCCCCTAGAACCACGTCGTTAGAGCTAATTCTCTCGGGTCGCGGCATTTTAGCACTAAGTTTCGCGCGGTGTGCCCTTGAAGTGTGTTCTGTGTTCTCTCCGAAATCGTCGAAGCCTTAGAGCTCTCCTCTGCCCATCACTTCTGCTGAAAGGTAAGTTTCAAACAGCGTTCTCGAATAAGTCTGCGTTGTCTTTATTTTAGAATTCTGGTCGTTTATGCCGAAAGAGTGGTTCAAACTCGCACCTAATATCCAGTTGTTTACCTTGCTAAGCTACTGGGCTAACGGTTGCCTCTCATGTACGCAGGACTTACATGCATTCTTTTGTCCTCGGATTGGTTTTCAAAACTTAGGGCAAACAAAGCTTTATTGATGTTTGATTCCCTTTGAAAACATCCTCTCCAGGCATTTCTGATCCCTGAATTCCCTATTGGTAGATACTGCATCCCTTATTTTTCTTTTGATGCTTGCAAGGAACCAAGTTAACAGCTCTGCACATGTACTAAACCACACCGCCCAATTGGTTGAAGACTCAATCGAGTCATCAGCTTGCTACTCTGTAACCATGTTTTTAGAGTTCATATCACCTTGACATGTAACTCGACCTGTCAGTAAATTAATTTCAGCCAAACTGCTCAAACCTGCAGATTTGCCTGAAGTCATTACTTTTTTCCGCCCATCTTACTTCGCCGCACCCTGCATATTCGATGAAACATTATTAATGTAATCCCATTGCTTTAGATCTTTTTCTGGAATTGTTGATGGTAAAAATATGTAAGAGATGAACAGGTATGGATGTAGAGGTGACTTGTCTTTGCTTGAGACATCTGACACATACATCATGCGCCTGTATGGAAATCATGCGTAGGTACCGTATGTAATCCCACACATGGACCACATGGACTGAGTTCATCAGAAGGAAACCACCCCCCCATTAACTTGGAACTGAGAAAAAAGGTTTGAAGTTTTATTCCTGCATAAGGCGCAGTGTAGAAAATAAACTTTAACCCCTCTCTTCACAAACTAACTTCTGTTTCTCAACTTTCAGTTCTCAGGAGAAAGTATACTGTCAGTGAATCTTGAATGCATTCTTAACTCAATATTTTCGAAAATGTGGGTTGGTTCCTTTCTGATAAACTGGTTCCATATAGAGGAGGTTTGTTCATCACAACTCTAGTTTTTGCGCATGAAGCTGTCTGGCAACTGCTACATCGATAACTACCTGTTTGAGTTACTTACCTGTTGTTTGCTGCCATGTTACAGAAGAGAGTTGTAAGTGCATTTCTGTATGAGCCACAGTTAGCACACTCTTGTGTGTCTCAAGGCTCATCCCTAACTCCTCGAACGCCTCTCTTTTATAACATGGCAGCATGGCTTACTGCTCCATTACCCTCAGTCCTCTCTGAACCACCAGCCTGGATCATAGCGCCAGCTTTACAGCCACTTCACCTTAGGAGGGCAAAAATAGGAATTTTGCACACATCTTTGCACCCATAAGTGTAATGTCTGAATTAAGTAGTAGGTACATGGATGAAGTCTCCAACTGCCAGGCAGAGGCTTTCAAGATCTTTATCTACCAAGCTCAGAAGTCTGTAGCACCAATCTATCATTTGATCGTGTAGGGAAATCATTCACTGAGCAAGGTTCGTGCCTGTTTAACCTGCATATTAGTTGTGGTTACTGGAAAGTCTCTCAGATTATGGAAGTATATTTTGACAATCAGATTGTGGCAATCCCATCACTTTGGCATTTTTGGCAAAATACATTGAATACTCTGAAACATTACTTTTTACCTGTACATACGTTCTGGAACTGCATCTTGAGCATGTGTTGGAGACTTTTCACGCAGAAACATTGTTAGAAATATTGTTAGCATTAGTTATAACTTAGGAGTGCAAAATTTGCCCAATCCTGCGATCAGCGGATCGTGTGACAAGTGAGGAAATTTTCATACGAAACAACACCAAAAAAAATTTCCTGAAAAAATTCCGACGCTTTATCAATATTTTCGATTTTTCGAAAAACATTCAAAGGTGAAGAGCCGAAAATCAAATAAAAAAATAATAATAAATGAAATTAAATAAATAAATGAGAAAGTGAGGTCAGTTTAAGGACCTGAGTGAGGAAAAAAGTCTCGAGTCGCGTGAAACGCTTGGCCAAAAGACAATTTTCGCACCCCTGTAATAATGGTGTCTCTACTCCCATTTACCCACAGAAAGTATTAATAATCCCATTGGCAAGATTTAACTTTTATCTGTAGTATGATGATATAAGCACTGCTATTTTTTTTTTTTTTTACGATTATTGCCCAAACGCGTTGCGGCTACATTGTTCATCGCTTAATATTGCAATCGGGTGGGAAAATGAGCAAAGTTGCTTGAGTATTGCCGGAAGCAACAATGCCGCTGGCCGCTGGTAAGATTTTTCTATCTTTCTTGTCGAGGAGAAAGGTAGGATATTAATTCGAGTACAAAATAATCCAGTATCATTCGGTCACTGTGGCATGGCATGTTACGGGTTGATCGCTGGATCACACAGAGAAAAATCGCCTGACAAGCGTATTATTTTAATATCGCTGGTGCAGTGAGTGTTGCTTCCCCGATTTTTACGGGCGTTAAGAGCGCATTACACCGAAAGACGTATCCGTAAGACGTCTCATAGACGGAGGAGGCAAACGCAAATATAGGAAGTCAACGGCTCTTAAATCAAATTTAATGATGGGATACTCGGACCGCGTTTAGCAGAAAGGAACCAAGCCAAATCAACTATTGCTAAACTAAACTGGACAATTTAGATTTTTACAAGAGAACGTATGTGCGGATTTCTTTAAAAATGTTAAAGAATTTGCTGCGCACAATGCAGACAATTCACTGAAATTTGCCCAAAAATCCGCACTACCTTTTTCATGTAAAAAATTAAATTGTCCAATCAAATTTGGCAACAGGTGATGGGGTTTGGCTCCTTTCTGCTCAACGCGGTCTAATTATTTTACAGTTACGGTGGGGACTGTTTCTCAAAGTCTGAAGTTCATCCTGTTGATGGCATTCAGCATTTTCGAACGCTTTTTGGAATCTACCTATTTTCGCCGAAAGCACTCTTTTTTTCTCCCCAGAAAATTGTCTCATTAGCGTCATTGCTTTACATAAGGTCGAGCACGTAAGATGCATATATTGGTGTATGACGAGAACTGAAGAAGATGTGACAAGAGTCACATCCAAAAACATTACCGTTCTCACCAATGGACCTAAGTACTATTATCGGGGTGTCAACAAGTCCGGAAATAGTACTGGTTTTTTAAGGGCGATCCGGAAGTACTGGAAAAGTACGGAAATTCCGCAAGAAGCTCCAGAATTTCTTTTTATTTTTTTGTCAGTTTTGTCGCAATTTGAGCGAGAAATTCAATTTTTTTCGAATTTCGTCTAATAAGAGAACTGAAAAAGTACTGAATTTTTCTGTTGAGGAGGTCAGGTACTGAATTTCTTGGGAATGAACTGAAAAAGAACTGATTTTTGGTCAGCGCGTTTTAGTAGACACCCTGACTATCGATCGACTCCCGATCTTTCCTTCCCCCACCTCTAATTTTATGCCAATTTTCAATGAAGAATCATTATTTATGGCTCATTTTAAACATGCAATATAAGCCTTCAGGCGTTGCCGAGTTTCCCTCGACTACTTAAAAACTTTCGGGAAACTATGTTAATGTTTTTCTTCTGACTTTTCAGAGAATCTCCTTCTTTGATCCCAAATATCTGAAAATTGCAAAGAAAAGTATCCTTACCTTTCTTCAAAAACACCTATTTTGGGAGAGGAAATTTGGCAACATTCTAATGCTCATGCGGAGTTTTTCCTTAGCATTGCAGTCTGCGCCATAATTTTCTCCATGAAGATAAGTGGCTTTTTGGATGAGCCAGGAACACGAGTTGTTTATTGCAAAATTGAGTCTAATTTCAGGGTTGAAATGACCTCTTTCCATGCCAAAAATTAAAATAAATGGATTTATATCGATTCTCTTTAACGTAACATTATCAGCGTTTATATCCTGCAAGCATCCGTAAGACTGAGATGCAGTGGAGGTTCAAAACGTTACGCTCAGGTTGAACGTCGGAAAAACATTCGAAAGTTTCCAAATTTCTTTCGATAAAATGTTTATATTTAAGGAAAGTTATAAATATTTTCCCTCGAAATTTTCAGACTCTCTAGGTGAAATTATGGAGGCAATCCTTTGAAAACTCGGAAGAGAAATATCGATAAATTTTTGTGAAACTTGGTGATTTGTCGAAGGAAATCTAGCAACGGCTGCTGGCTCATACGGGGTTGCTCCTGGCACGGGAGTATTGACCTCCGCTTGGCGCGAAGCGCGCAACACTTCAATTCCTCTCGCGAGCTTATTTATTATCGCACGAAATTTTTTTTGGTATCAAATCAGAGGTCAGACAATTCTACGGCTCCGTCAGAACAGGCGAAGTATCCATTTTTTCGCCCGACAAAAAGTTATTCGATCCTAAAATTTCCCAAAATTTGAAAAATGTTAGTTTTTCCCAATTTAGAAAAAAAAAATTCAAGTCCAACAGGAAACTTGAAGGAAAATACAATTTTTCTCCGGGAAATTACCTTTCATTTAAAAAAATGTTGATCAAAATCGGATCAGTGGCAACCGAGGGACAGCGCTTTGAAAAAACCCAACATGGTGGACTTTAACGGCCGCCATCTTGCTCCAGTCGCGGGTCTCAGAGTGTTGCCCAATCATGGAGTACATAGAGTCGTAATGTAAATGGGAGAGCTGGCGCCATGTCCGAGCTC